GTTTTGAGCAGCATAAACTAATTTACAGATTAATTGTGGGGGGTCTGTTTGTCCATGTACACAGTTATTTAGATGAGCTTTTATATGTTCATTTTAATGTCAAATCTCTAAATATGATTTTTTTTCCCACTAGGGTCAAGGCAGATTATTTTTTCCATATATAATTTGCTATACTTGGGAAACTTGTATTTAAGTTGAAATTAAATGAGTTGTCGTCCTAATATTTTGTTTAGAATAGACAGTTCTTAACATGGAATTCTTTAAATTGAAACTTGATTCTTTTTTTTAATTTTATTTAATGTTAATCACCTTGAGTTTTCTTAACTTGTTACATATCTGTATAAAAAGGCCTCATTACTAGACTTAGTGGTACTAATGTGACATTTAAGTAGAAAAGAAGATCTAAAAAATTTAATCCTGTCCCCAATGTGGTTATTAATCCCAATTCTTCTTTTAATAGACTTGTGTGTATCCATGACTATTTCAGTCTTCATTACTGCCTCTTGTCTGCCATTGGTTTAATTTAGGAAATTATAATCTAATTTTATTGAGAAGTTGTTGCTTTAGTTTTAACTTTTTAGATCCATATCAATACCTTGTTCTGCAACCTTTAGCTTGACATTGCCTCCAGAATAAGGATCAAGCTCATTACCATGGCATTTTAGGCTCTTGACAAGTGGGTTTTAAACATTTCCCGCATACACCTAGGGCACCTTTTGCTGTAGTCACATTGACCTGTTTTCCCTCGAGTACTCACTCTCCAGTATGCTTTTTTTTTTTTTGGTCTTGTTCTTTGCTTGTGCCATTCCTGTTTCCTCTGTCTCAGTAGCTCAGAACCTGACTGGCTCAACTATTAAAAAACTTAGTTGTTCCATAAAGCCTTCCCTGAGTGCCCAGACCAGAATCCATTTCTGTCTTTTGCATCCTCATGGAGTTCTATTTCTGCATCTCTTTTCACATTCTGCCTTATTAGTTATCTGTTTGTTGTCCCCACAAGATTATGAACGCTTTGAAGGCAAAAACTATGTTCATATTTGAATTTTTAATTCACAGAGACATTTCCAGAGTCCTGGGATATAGGACTTCTCACTATAATTTGATTTTAAGTAGGATTTTGTTTTTGGTGGGTGTGGGTGTTTGGTAAGAATAAGGGAGAATAGATTTTGTGCCATCTGTTTAATTTAGAAAATTATCATCTAACTTTTAATCGAATTTAGTAGGGATTAGTTATAATCTTGATTCAGGGTACTATTTTTTTCCTTCTTTCTGTATAATGAAGGATTTATATGATATGTATATTCTATGACCTTATAGTCTGAGTTGCTCAGTATCTTACTTGGTTGAGTTATTGTTTGTGAGTGTAAGTTTTAGTTCTTGAGAGAGAAATTGGATAATTTCTGCTTTATAGGTGCCTGAAAGATGAGATACCATGTTCACTAGGAAGATTAAATGATATTTTACTTTTGTAAAGACTTCTCAGAAGTTGCATCTATGGGGTGGTACTGATGATGGAGCCCAGAGAAGCCTGCAGATCCTAGCTGTCAAATTCTCATGCATATATTAAGAAAAGAGCAGTCATTTGACTTTGATGCTTAGAATAAGAATCTTATCCTTCATTTGGCCCAGTGGGTCCACATTAGACCTTTAAAGAAGGAAATGTAATCCTAATGTATTACTTGGCTCTGTAGTTTAATTTTTACATTGGCATAATAATGTAAGTGTTCACTGATTTTTAATTTTAGAATCACTATTGACTTGAGATGAGTCATCTAAGACCTCTATTTGCAAAACAGTGAATTAAAGTGTTACTTTTTTTTTTAAGATTTTTAAAATTTATTTATTTAGGGGTGCCTGGGTGGCTCAATTGTTGGGCGTCTGCCTTCGGCTCGGGTCATGGTCCTGGGATCGAGCCCCACGTTGGGCTCTCTACTCAGCAGGAGGCCTGCTTCTCCCTCTCCCACTCCCCCTGCTTGTGTTCCCTCTCTCGCTGTTTCTCTCTCTCTCTCTGTCAAAAAAAATCTTAAAAAAAAAATTTGTTTATTCATGAG